TGTGAAGTGGTGGCTGATGACTAATGATGTTGAGTATCTTTTCATATTCTTATTGGTCATTTGTATGTCTTCTTTGGAGAAATGGCTATTCAAGCCCTTTGTCCATTTCTAAATTGCCATTTATCTTTTCACTGTGATCTCGTTGTATAAGTGAGCAATTGAGTCTCATGGTGCATCAGTGACCTGTCCCCAGTGCCCTGCACTTTCTACTCCGGGAGGAGAAGAAAAAACATCTTGTCCTCTGCGGTGTCACACAGGCTGACTGCCCCATTGTGCGCACACACCACACTTGCTTCATCCACTTGCCCACCCCGGGGTTGGGGGGTTTGCGAATCTCGGCTGTTGTGAATAATGCAGTGAGTAGGAGGGCAGATATCTCAGATCCCCGGTTTCAGTTTTTAGGATACAACCCAGAAGTGGGATGGCTGGGTCGGAAGGCAGTCCTTTTGGTGATTTTGAGGTGCCTCCATACTGTTGGCAGGAGCGGCTGCACCGTTTTGCTTTCCTATTGAGTCTGAATGCCTTCACCGACAGTCGCTGTCCTGTTTTCTAGCTACCTACCATCCTGACAGGTGTGAGGCGGTGTCACTGTGGTTTTGATTTGCATTTCTCTGATTTAAAAATAGGCTAAGGTCTTGAATAGACATTTTCTTCAAAGAAAACATGCAAATGGCCAACAGGTCCATGAAACTATTAGATGGTTTTTGACCTGGAATATGAATGTCAGTTTCGTGTGGTTTGGCCTCATACATGCCAATGAGTCCTGTTCCCACTCTTCACTCCAGCTCAGTGCTTTCAACAGAACCAGCCCTGTGATCAGCTGCCCTGCCACCCATCACCCACTAGTTATGGGCCCGCCCCAGTGTCTGCCCTCAGCTCGCCCAGCTGGTTTATCTTCCGGAGCCTCGGCGCCATCCACTCTCCCGTTCCTGGGACTTTGTGTACAGCAGTCCTGCCCTCTCACGCCCAGCCCCAGGGGGCTCAGCTCATTGTCACTGCTATTCTGGCTTTTAGACTGAGCTGTGCCTGGCACCCCTAGGCCTGTCCAGTTCTGATGGACTGGCACCCCGCCCCATTCCAGTCCACCCTGGGTACCCTCCGCACTCACTGAGTCAGCCTTGGGTGTTTGACAGACGCCATCTCAGTGGCTTCTCCCTGCAGCCAGAGGTCAGTCCTGCTGCCATGGAGGGCAAGTCGCTGGGCCCACACAGCCACCACAGAGCTGCCTCGCCTGCCTTCATGCACATCTAAAGAGCCGCTCACGGCGAACCATCCAACTTCTGTTGACCATCGTTCTCGCTCTTCCCTGCAGGAAGCCCTCTCACTGCCAGAGCTCAGCACCCTGTGTGCCCGGTGTGAAGCAGCCACCATGTTCCACTGTCACAGTCTGCTATGGGCTCTTGGGACTCCTGTTAATCTCTGTACACCCAGGGCCTCGCTGGCACCTGGCAAAGCCCACAGGCAGGTGATTACTCCTGCCAGGCACTGCCCAGCTTTATCCACATAACGCTCAAAACCACCCACCTTTGTTACAGCAGCAAGAGCAAGGACCTTATCTAAGGAAATGCAGCTGGCAGGTGGCTTTGCGTGGGTTCACGTACTGTTGAAAACCCTTGTGCACCCTTGGTGGGAATGCAGACTGGTACAGCCATCAAGTAAAATAGTATGGAGATTCCTCAAAAAATTAAAAATAACACTTCTTATGATCCAGCATAAGAATACACTTCTGGGTATTTATATGAAGAAATAGAAAAGACATAGTACGCACCCCTATGCTCACTGAAGCATTATTTGCAATAGCCAAGCTGTGGAAACAACCTGAGTGTCCATCAGTAGACAGATACAAAAGAGATGGTGCATACACACAAGGGAATAGGACTCAGTCATAAAAAAGAATGAAATATTGCCATCTGTAATATGGATGGACCTAGAGGGTATTTTACTGAGTGAAATGTCACATACAGAGACAAATACCATATTATTTCACTAATATGTGGAATCTAAAAAAAATAAAATAAACAAAACAAACAGACTCATAGGTACAGAGAACATATTAATAGTTGCCAGCGGGGAAGGGACTTGGGAGAAAAGGTGAAGGCATTAAGATGTACAAATGGCCAGTTATAAAAGCAGTCACAGGGATGTTCATACAGCACAGGGAATCTAGTCGATAATATTGTAATAGCTATGTATGTGTCAGGTGGCTGTAGACTTATGGGTGAGCACTTCATAAGGCATATAAATGTCTAATCACTATGATTTACACCTCAAACTAATATAATACTGTATGTCAACTATAATTGAAAAATAAAAAAAAGTTATAAAAAGAAAATGCACAGATTAGCACCTAAGCCACCAATGAAATATTTTGCTGTACTTTAAAGTGTTTTAAACCAAAATATTCACACAGGTTCATTGAGTAAGGACTGTTTAGCAATACAAAGTTAAGAAGTAACAATAAGTGCTGTGAAAAAGGAGAGGAGGGAGGGAGGTAAAGAGGGAAGGGAAGGAGGAGGAAGGAAAGAAACATCTGTGCTAGGTAGAATGGCCCCCAAAATGCCTTCTCCCTGCTTCCTGGAACCTGTGAATGTGTCCCTTTCTGTGGCAGAGGGGACCCCTCAGCTGTGACTTGGTCTCAGAAGAGGGAGGTTATCCAGGCCCGGTGCAGTCACAGGGTCCTTAGAGGAGGGAAGATCTGGGTTACTACACTGCGGCTTTGGCGATGGAGACAGCCAGTTGGAGGCAACGGAAAAAGTGGGGAAACAGATGCAACCTGACTTCCGCCCTGGCAGTCCCATTCTAGGTATCTGCCCTCCAGGACTGTAAGTCCTAAGCCACTATATGTGTGGAGGTGTGTCACAGTAGCTGTAGGAGGTCAGAGCTCACAGCCACAGCCTGTCCTCCAGCCCACCCTCTGCCCAGCACACAGGAGCACTTAAAACACAACCAGATTGTGGGCTCTCCACCGGAGCCTTCAGCTGCACCCTTCACTCCCTGTCCCTCTCAGGGCACTTTCTGCCATCTTCAGGCAGCTTGCCCCTGGAACTCACAGGGATGTTAACATGTCATCTATATATATAAAAGCCTAAGCACACTGTCTCTTCTTTATCTGCACCCGTTGGGTCCCCCAGCCTGGCCTGTACCCTCTAGCAATCTGGGACCCCTCAGGGGATGTTGGACTGTCAGTTTCAGGATTGGGACTGTTAATCTGATATCCCTCAAGAGATGCAGTAGTGCATAAAGTGGCAGGAGGCCAGGGAGGAGCCCAAGTTGGGTGCCACGCCACTCAGTCCTGGCTCCATTGTGCCTGCCACTGCTGCTGCTCAGTAGTGCTGCAGTGGAAGCGAGAGAGGCTCATGCAACTGCTGCTGTGCTCACCAGCCATGAACCCGGCATCTGGAGCCCAACTGTCAGCTGAGCGGCACCACCATTGTGGAAGCGCACTGACCACAAGGGGGCGGCTCCTGTGTTGAGTGTCTGCCTCCTGGTGATCAATGCACGTCATAGCAACCTGTCAAATGGTCATTAGGTCGTTCAGTCACTTAGGCTTTTGGCTCAGTGGATAGAGCATCAGCTTGCGGACTGAAGGGTCCCAGGTTCAATTCCAGTCAAGGGCATGTACCTTGGTTGCGGGCACATCCCCAGTAGGGGGTGTGCAAGAGGCAGCTGATCGATGCTTCTCTCTCATCGATGTTTCTAACTCTCTATCCCTCTCCCTTCCTCTCTGTAAAAAATCAATAAAATATATATTTTTAAAAGGTTTTTATAGATAGATAGATAGATAGATAGATAGATAGATAGATAGATAGATATAGATGGCACGTTAACATCCCTGTGAGCTCCAGGGCCAGGAGAACCTGCCTTGTTCCCCATGCCATCCTCAGTGCCTGGGACAGCGCTTACCACCTGGGATGAGGAAAGCATGAACATCCTTCAGGGTTTCCCTATACATGGCAGGGTGTGCCCTCCCTGAAAGAGTGTTTTAATTCCTGTGCTTAGAAACTAGCAGATCGCAGCATGGCGCAGGCCCACTCCACTCCGCCTCGTCCTGGCCGCCCAGAACTACGATGTCAGCTGTGAGAGCTGCTGCATGGCACCTCACGTCGTTTTTACCCACGTGTGCACTTTTTACGCCTTTTCCTCCACATGAATCCACGGCTCTTTTCCCATGGGATACACCACGCCTCCCGGGCCAGGCGGGAACACGGACAGCCTATGCGGTGTCCTAACATCACCACTCTGTGTGTTCCGTTTCCCCATCTCCACCTCGCACGTGTTCCTGGAGAAATACTGTGTTTTCCCTTCCCCGTCTCATGACAGGGTCCTGACCACGTGCCCAGGTCACGCACAGGCCAGCGATCTCTTGAGAACCATGCAGCTCCCTCTCTCGGTCTGCCACTGAGGACGCCCTGTAACCCAGGTCCTCAAACGCTGCTTCTCTCTCCTCTACAATCCACTCTCTGGTCTTTTCTGAGGCTCCAGCCCGACCACCCGGAGAGGAGGCCCGGACCCCCACTTTGTTTTAGCCGAATCCTCATCGCATCTCTGCGGGCAGGTCAGCAGATGCGCTCCTCTGTGGCGTCCTCACCCCCGCTCTGCGTAACCAGTATCAGTGACCCCCTTATTCCACGCTGGCATCTGCCCCGACTGCCCTCTGAGGATGAATCCTGCAGCCTCCCGTGTCTGTGCGGCACCTCTCGTGTCTGCAGTGTGTTCAACGCCTTCTCTTCTACTGGAGCGTGCCTTTGCGGAGCAATGAAAGTGCGGGGAGGCGGGTGTGGGAGGGGTGAAGGCTATGGCTGGTCCCTTCTCTCACAGCCAGAGCTGGTGGCCCCACAGCTGTGCTGGTGCTTTGGAAGGGAAAGTGTACGTGCCAGTGTGGACTCTCAGTGTCTCCATGTTGCATCACCAGCCAGCTGGGAGCAGCTGTCCATGAGCCCCGCTCCGGAGCCCGGTCCCTGCGTTCGGAGCCCACTTCTCCGCTCTCCCCTCTCTTACAGAGACGCCGCCCCGCCCGGGGAGCCGCTGAGCAAGAGCAGCCGGCCCAGGGCGGCCTCCCGCTTCCCCAAGCTGTCCCGCAGCCAGCCCAGGGAGACGCGCAACGTGGAGCCCCAGAGCGGTGACCTCTGACCTCCGTGGACGCCCAGGCTCAGCTTCCGTGCTGCGCTGCTGCCTCCCGGCCTCCTGCCCCAGTCCGGCCACGGCAGCCGGACCTGCCACCTGGAGTGACGGCCACACGCACCGGTGACCTGAGAGCACACCTTCCCACCGGCCGCACGGCACCGATTAAACTGGTCAGACGTGGACACGTGGGCACTCTCCCCGGTCTGCCCAGCAGCCAGGCCTCCTTTCCTCCCTTCAGGGGCCGGCGGACGGGCCAGGCGGGCTTGGAGCCCCGGTTCCCTCAGAAGCTGCCTCTGGCTTTTCCTGCCGGGAGCAGTAATGACTGTTACTCCTCTTTTTCTAACTGCCTGCTGCCGCCTATGGCCAGTGGGCGGGTTCCTTTCCATTTCACTCTCCCCAGTAGCTGTTGGACTGACCCCTTGTCAGCGCCCCATGGCCAGCCTCCGCTCTGCGGCCTCTCCCACAGGGACCCCGGGCCTGCATGCGAAGGAGCCCGTGGGTAACGCTGAACTGTGGCTCCCAGGGCCTGGCTGCTGGGAGGAGCGGGCCCAGGAGACCCAAGGGCCTGATCCACAGGCACCTTCTCAGGTTCGGGGGACCTCACCCACCCAGCCAGCCAGCCATCGGTGGCAACCTGGTGCCCCCACGGTGGAGATACCAAGGCTGCCCGGTGAGAGACGCGGTTCTGCAGAGGCTCTGAGGCCCTCGGCCTACAGACCTGGCCCCATGGCTCGTGTGAACTGGGACACGTGTCCACCTGGAACAGATCATGGTCATTCCCTAAGACAGACTCGAGGGCACTCTCTGCCGCCACGTGCTCGCAGGGGAGCAGGACCCTGTGCCCCTGGACGGATAAAGGGGAGAGCGTGGCCTCACCCAGCTTCCCCCTCAGACCTCCAGGGCCAGGGCGCCAGCTGCACATAGCCATGGACGTGCCTCTCCCCTGGGCACGGGCACTGGGATGTGGAGGCCGCATTTCTGGGAGACACTAGGAAGCAGAGGTGAGGCTGTGACAGTGCACGGGGATGAGGGAAACCGGGGACGGATCATAGGGAACCGGATGACGACGTGTGAAGGACGGCAGTGGAGCTAACCACCTCCGTGTCCCAGAGCCCTCAGCTCCACCCAGACCTCGGCCCAGGTGGGCTGTCCCGGAGGAAACCCTGTGCAGGCATTCCGGGCGCCACCATGGACTGGAGAGCCACCTCCTATGGCAGCCCTGCACAGCCACAGGCCTGAATCCCTTCTGAGGGGACAGCCAGCTGGGCCGAGGGCCTGCTGTTCTCGGGCTGCGGCAGAGTGAGTGGCAGGGACCCTGTGGTCAGCTCGGGATGAGAGGACCCGAGAGATGCTGTGTCCAGAGAGTCAGCATCTCCTTCGTTTCAACTCCCAGCCCCACTGCGCCCTGGCCAAAATGGGCAGGATGCCTCGCTCCCTCTGCCCCGCACCCCACTGTCTGCTCCACCTCCGTCCTCGTGACGCAGCCAAGAGACCGTCCAGCACTGCTGTCCGGACAGCGGGGCCTGCTCCCGACGCCTCTCCTCCCGGTCGTGTTAGATACAGAATGGAGCGCCCACCTCAGCGGCCTTTGCCAGCGCCTGCCCCGAAACATGTCCAGTGTGAACCTCCAGGAGCCCCTCAGCCTGTATTCACACAGGAGGAACCTGCCTCCCATCTTCCGAAGCGGAATCATTCGTGGAAAACGCGCCCCGCTCCCCCACTGGTTGTAAAAGCACATTCCTGGGGCTGCGCAGAACTTGCTCTTTGCACCCTGTTTCGTGATCATGCAGAAACCCTGAAATCACCTTTCACGTACAGACCACCCCTAGTTTTAGCTCAGATATGCATGTGACATGCGCATCACAGCAACTCCTCAAAGCCTTAACTTTGGAAACATGGAATGTTCTGCAGTGATTCAGTCCATTCGGCTGCTCAACAGACCCTGGCCCTGCTGTGCATGTGGGAGGAGCGGCTTCCTGTTCCCAGAGCAGGACAGACCCTGGGCCCAGCCAGGTGCACAGATGCCTTCCCCTCGGGACTTCTGCCCTTCAACCTGGGTCCAGTCCTGAGGGCCGGCCGCCGGCCTCCCTGCGCACCCCTCACCCCATGATCATCACGGAAAGGACAGCCTGCAGTGGGCTCAGCCTGGCGGCTCCCACTTAGCATCCATGCCCGGCACATGGCTCCCATGAGGAGCAGGCAGCCCCTTGCAGCGCACCGAGCCACAGTGAGAATGGCCCAGCGTTTGTCCAGTTGGGCCCTGGGGGAGGAGGTGGATCTCCTTTAATACCCAACAGCTGGGCACATTGGGGTCACCCAGTTACAAAAGGGGTTACCCGATTGAGTAGTGAAGACAAGATGTCATCGTGTGAAACCTAGCAGGAGGTGCTAACAGCGAGAGCAGGGGATGTGGGCGTGACCTAATCACTGCACTCAGCTCTGCCCGGCTGGGAGCTTATTAAGACGAGTCCTTCATAACCACTGGAACTTACCAAGGAGGCAGGTTGTGTGTTGTGCCTGTAACACAACAGAGGCAATCAACACTGTTCACATCATAGGATCGATAACACCATTGTCACCGATGTGAGAGGACACAGGACACAGGCGCACTGCCTGCCCACCCACCAGCCAGGTGACGAGATGAAGCACTGCCTGCTTCCCAGCACCGGCTGTGGCTGGCCAGCTGGTGGCCTCCTTTCTCTCTTGGTATCACATGAGGAAGTTTGCCCACCTGAACACCGGGCCACAGTTCCCAGCCTCAGCCCACCCCACCTGCTTGTGAGAGCAGCCCAGAGGTGCCCGCTGCCCCTCACCTGGGGTCAGGCCTATTCTCTGGGTCCCAGCAGGGCTTGCTAACCAGTCCCTCTTCCTTCCTTCTGGCTCCTCTGCACCAGCCCAGCGTCCTCACCTTGGCAGCGTATAACTGACGGTAAAGAACAGGCTGGCTTTCAGCCTCGCCCTGAGGATGGGCGGGCCCCACCTGCCTGAGAAGGGCCCTGCCAGGGCCCCGCCTGCCAGCACAGCCCAGCGAAGGCGTATCCTGGGTGGGCACCCCTCCTGTCCGGACCTCTCCCTGGCGGTTCCTTTGGGACGTAGTGCGCACTAGATGGCTCCCCAGCCTGCAGGCCGGGCCTGGCAGAGGCCTTCCCCGGGCAGCGTCTGCTTCTGAGCAAGGGGTTCGCAGCGATCATGTTTCAAATTTTGTGCATTGTTTCATTAAAGCTAACATTAAATATTTGCTGTTCGGATTAGCTTCTGTGCTATTTTTGCACAATTGTAGCACTGTATATTTTATCTCAGATTTCTGTGCCAAAAGTTCGTTTTCATGTCTCTGTAGCACGCGGTCTTGATTATGTTTCTAAGCTAAAACGTCAGCTCCGGGATTGACAGGCATGAGGGTGGAGGCCGACCAGCCCGAGCTCTGGAACCCCCTGCTCAGCCCGCAGTCCTTCTGCTTCCGCCAGGACAGTGCCAGTGAACTCTCCCGACTTCAGTCACAGAGCCCCAAGGCCATGCGGAGTGGCTTCCCACTGACCCAGTCAGCTTCTTCAGGAAAAAACCTGATTTCTTTAAACGGTGCCTGGACAACCATCCACGGTAGAGCATGCTGGAGTTGTCAGCATTTCGATGTCCAGGGGTCAGTTCTACAGCCCGTGAACATGTTTCCATGGAAACTGGAAAGCCACTAGCTGACCTGTCCAGGCTGCCACCTGCCCACGAGTCTGCTCAGGCCACCTCTGGCCACGTGAGCTGTGGAGGGAGAGGCCACGTTCACCCAGAGACCAGACAGGAGGTGCCACTGCAGAGACGGGGCTGGGACGCGGGAGGAGAGCAGAGTGCTGACCACTCGGACATGAGCCCGGGGACCCGGCTTTCCGGGGGTGAGGGGCGGAGCTGACTAGGGCTTCTGTTCTCTGGATTCATCCTGACCATCTTCACCTCTGCAGCCTTCGCTCCACCCCCTGCACAGCTGCTCAGTAAGCACTGCTTGACTCATCAGATACTGACTTCAGGGAGGAGGGGCTGTGGGTCAGGAGCCACGTCCACCGTGGGAGGCCTCAGCCTGGCGGAGTCCCCTTGGCTGGGCCCCCGGATGGTGGTCAGGGATAACGTGGCCACGATGTGGAGTCTGGGCCACGGTCTGTGCCCCAGGCCTGGACGTGGGCCGGGTCGCGCTGAAACGTGTAGTATTATCGTAACTACCCTGTTATGTTAAGGTTTACATGATAGAATTTTTAAACAAATGTGTTTAATTTTCTAAAATCTCTTGTATTACCATTTTCTTTTGGAATAAGCTGTGGAAATTTTGTTACAATCTGGAGGAGATCCAGCTCTTTACAATGGCAAATAAAAACGGTGACATTTTATACATTAAGCACTCAGTCATGGCCTCTGTCTCTTCGCCTCCTTCCCTTCCCACAGCGCGAGGGGAGGGGCTTGTGTGTTATAAACAGACACCTCTGGAAGCCACTCACCAGGTGACACAATGCCCGGGGGACAGGATTTGATGGGGATGAACACAGTTTAATTTGAAGTGAAGCAAAGTTTCACGTGATGCATTAGGCAGAGCTGTCCAAGCTGGACAGAGAAATACTGGTAAATCCACAGAGAAAAACCCTCATTACAGGTTCCTTCTCACTCCAAAACAGGCAGTCATTGGGCACCGACTGTATATCAGGCATCGTGCCCGCACTGGGCATGCGGCAGTGACCAAGACAGAAAAGACGCCTGCCGTCTGTGCACTCGCCCAGGACAATAAGATGATTCCCCCCAAAATGTCAGCCATCCGGACCCTCACGGACCACAGGCAGTGCCAGGAAGGACTCCAGTGAGCGGGATGGGCAGGAAGAATGGGGCCCAGGCGGTCTCACCCTCAGCCCTGCGGACACGTGGGCGGGGCACCTGCCGCCATTGCACTGAGGGGCGCGGGGGTCACAGCATCCCTGGCCGCCTCCCACTAGATGAAGCCAGAAATGTCTCCAGAGAGGCCCCGGGTTCCCCCATGAGGTGGTCCCCAGTGAAGACGAGTTGGCAGAAGTGACTGGCAGTTAAGCTGTGACCTGCAGAATGAAAAAGAAATGCTACACCCTCCCTCCATCCCCCACACCCCAAAAAATGACCTTGGCTTAAAAATTCATACTGAACAGCAAGGGACTTAACTTTTTAACCTAATTATGGAAACTGAGGAGAAGAAACATTCTCAGCTGAGAGCCCAGGTGTGAGGCAGTCTAATACCACCGAACCCGGCAGGGTCTGACCAGGGCTTCATGGAGGGGGTCGGCACAGGCCGAGCCCAGCCTGCCGCAGGGCAAACGCTGCGTTTAGGGGTGTGTGTGTGGCCAGCCTCCCGTTTACCTAACCCCAGGCCACCACTGAGAAGCAGGCCCTTGAGCAGACGAGGGAACTGTGCACCGATGTGTGCCGCCTGAAGCCCCCAGCCTGGGTGTGACAGCCCATTGTCTGGGCCACAGCCTAGTCTGTCCACCCCCTCAGCTCTCCTCGTGAAGCCTCAGCTCCCACACAGCTTTCCCCAATCCGGGGACCTGCTCCCCAAGCTCTCCCAGGTACAGACTGTCTTCTTGTCCTCCCCTAATCCACATTGTAACTCTCGTTTCCCTGTTTTAAACCACTCTGCCTCCTTAGAAACTCAATTCCTCTGAAGTTCATACACCTGCCTGTAACCCCTCTGCCCCTGTGGACCTGTGAGCTGCTTCTCCTTTCTCACCAGGGTCGGCACCCTCTTCCCAAGGGTCAGCGCGCTGCTGCCTGAGGGAGGGCACCCCTCTCCTCGAGGGTCGGTGCCCCCACTGGCCTCCTCCTGCTGGTCTCACTTCTCTGAGCCCTTCTCTCCGAGGCTGTTACTTTGTTAATATAGCACCTTTAGGTGCCTTTTAAATGTATTTTTATTGATTCAAAAGAGGAAGGGAGAGGGAGAGAGATAGAAACATCAATGATGAGAAAGAATCATTGACCCACTGCCTCCTGCACACCCTACACTGGGGATCTACCCTGCACCTTGACATGTGCCTTCACAGGGATTTGAACTGTGAGCTCCTGGCAAACAGGTCGACACTCAACCACTGAGTCACACCAGCCGGGATGGAGGCTGTTTCCTGGAGCCACGTGAGCCTCTTCCAGGTGAGGGCAGCAATCCCTGCGCCTCTGAAGGCCTGGCGTCAGCTCCCCTCTGCCCCGTCGCTGTCCTTACAGTGCATGGCAGCAATGCTTCCAATTCATCAAGACCTTCATCTGTCAGTGAACGCACACACCTGCCCTACCCTATTTGGCTCAGTGGATAGAGTGCTGGCTTGCAAAATGAAGAGTCCCACGTTCGATTCTGGTCAAGGGCACATGCCTGGGTTGTGGGCTCAGTCCCCAGTAGGGGGTGCGCAGGGGGCAGCCGATCAATGATTCTCATCATTGATGTTTTCATCTCTCTCCCCCTTTCCCTTCTTCTCTGAAATCAATAAAAATATAAATACAGCACTGAAGTCTCCCAGTGTGACAAAACTAAAAAGAAAAAAAAGGGGGGGGGGGGGAATAACCTAAAAATATATAAAAATATAAGACACATACACCTGTCCTCACCCTCTTTCCCAGCACTGGACACCAGGGCTCCTCCCAACGCCCTGAGCCCCTGTCCCGCCTTCACACCTGCTTGACACAAACCCAGCCCTGTCAAAGCCCAGCCACATAACTTAGGAGATCGGTGCAGTTAGAAGAACTTTTAGTTGATGTCTGTGCTCAATGATAAAGATGGGAATTTGTGACGTCAACCACTGACTGGAGTAGGAACAGCTGTAGGAGCAGTGTCTGTTAGGATGATAAACTCAGACACTCAGCACGGACAGGACATTAGGTGTAATCCCCGTGGCAATCACAAGGGAAGCAATGCCCATCAATGGTACAGACAATGCATACAGACAACGGATTCAGCCATCTGCAACGCAATGGGCCCAGAGCTTTTGTGTAGAGTGAACTAAGACAGACAGAAAAAACAATGCCACATGATTTCACTTATATGTGGAATCTAAAAACAAAATTAATGAACAAACAAAACATGAACAAAGTCACAGATACAGAGAATAAATTGATGGTTGCTCGATGGGAGGGAGTTGGGGAATGACAATAAAAGGAACAGGGTTAAGAAGTACAAGTTGCCAGTTATAAAAAGCAGGCATCTATATACAGTACGCCCCTAGGTTACATCGGAGATCCATTCCTACAGTGTGGTGTAACGCAATTTTCACCGTAAGAACCCACCTACACAAGCACCTACGTCCTTCACATGGAGCACATACACAGCAGTAATGAAGTGAAACAGTAAAATAAAAGATAACAATTCCTGACCTTTTCTTGTGGTAAATCCTATCTAATAAAAGAGTAATATGCAAATTGACCATCACTCTAAGTCACAAGATGGCCACCCCATGTGGTCAAAGATGGCTGCCCCCATGTGGACACAAGATGGCTGCCACAAGATGGCCAGCAAGGGAGGGCAGTTGTGGGCAGTTAGGGGTGAAGCCAGCAGAGGAGGACAGTTGGGGGTGACCAGGCTGACAGAGGAGGGCAGTTGAGGGAGAACAGGCCTACAGGGGAGGGCATTTTGGGGGGACCAGGTCTGCAGGAGAGGGCAGTTGGGGTGACCAGGCTGCAGGGGAGGGCAGTTGGGGTGACCAGGCTGCAGGGGAGGGCAGTCGGGGTGACCAGGCCTGCAGGGGAGGGCAGTTGTGGGTGATCAGGCAAGCAGGGAGGGCAGTTAGGGGTGAGCAGGCTGGCAGAGGAGGGAAGTTGTGGAGGACCAGGCCTGCATGGGAGAGAAGTTGGGGGGGGGCCAAGCTTACAGTAGAGAACAGTGGAGAGGACCCAGGCCTTGAGGGAAGGTCAGTTGGGGGAAACCAGGACAGCAGGAGGGGCCAGTTTGCGGAGACCAGGCCTGCAGGGGAGGGCAGTTAGGGGGGTGGGGGGAGTGGACCAGGCATTCATGGGAGAGCAGTTGGGGGGGACAAGGCATGCAAGGGAGAGCAGTTGGGGGAGGGGGGGAGAACTAGGCCTGCAGTGGAAGACAGTTGGGGGGGGGGCAGGCCTTCAAGGAAGGGCAGTTGGGAGGACCAGGCCTGCAGGGGAGGACAGTTGGGGAGGATCAGGACAGGAGGGGAGGACAGTTGGGGAGGACCAGGACAGTAGGGAGGGCAGTTTGAGGAGACCAGGCCAGTAAGGGAGGACAGTTGGGGGGAGGGGGGGGACTTGGGCCTTCAGAGGAAGGCAGTTGGTGGTGGGGGGTACCAGGCCTGCAGGGGAGAACAGTTGGTGGGAATCCAGGCCTGCAGGGGAGGGCAGTTAGGGGGGAACCAGGCCAGCAGAGGAGGACAGTTGGGGGATGGGGTGGGGGAACCAGGCCTGCAGGGGACAGCAGTTAGGGGCAATTGGGCCAGCAGGGGAGTGGTTAGGGGGTAATCAGGCTGGCAGGCAAAAGCAGTTAGGGGCAATCATGCAGAGGCAGGCCAGTGGTTGGGAGCCAGCAGCTCTGGATTGTGAGAGGGATGTCCTACTGCCCGTTTAGGCCTGATCCTGGTGGGTCACCCCCTCAAGGGATCCTAGATGGGAGAGGGTGAAGGCTGAGCTGAGGAACACCCCCCCTCCCATGCATGAATTCCATGCACCAGGCCTCTAGTAAATAATAAAAAACATAAAGAACATATGTACATATGTCAAAATGACAGAACTTTTTTTAAAATATAAATAAATGGGAGAATGCACCATAACCACAAAATGATGTACATCAAATCCGACATAACCTGAGGACTGTCTGTATATAAAAGCCTAATCAATCGAATGATGAAAGACTAGTCGTTATGATGTGCACTGACCACCAGGGGCCAGACGCTCAATGCAGGAGCTGCCCCCTGGTGGTCAGTGTGCTCCCACAGCCAATCTCCCATAGCCAGCCAACCTTCTGCAGTCCCTCCCCCAGGCCAGCCAGCCCCATTCGACCCCTATTGGGACTGGGTGAGCTGGCCCCAATTGGCCCCAATTGCTGGTCAGGCCAACAGACCCCACCCATGCACAAATTCGTGTACCGAGCCTCTAATGTGGATATAAAGCACTAGATTAGGGGTGCTGAAATGAGGTGGGACACGCAGAGGGAAGGCATGTGAGACTCAAGCCAGGAGCACCAGGGACTGAGAGCGGCCACCAAGAGCTGGAAGAGGGAGGAAGGATTCTCCCCACAACCTTCAGGAGGAGCTCTGCCAACACTTTGACTTGGGACTTGTAGCCTCTAAATTGTTAGAGAATAAATATCTGGGGGGAGAGGGCATTGTTTTGTTTTTTATTGATATCAGAGAGGAAGAGGGAGAGGAGAGAGAGAAGCAT